CGTCTCATATTATTGTGTTCTTATTTCTTTCTCCTTGATGCACTTGTTTGCCACAATTTTATTGAATAACTCATCTTCTTAACATGCATATCCATGACTGCTAGGCATGCACATACACACACAAATGTGCACAGGTCTCCTGACTTAATGTTATTTGCCACATCAGGCTAGATTAGAACTCAAGGATAATAGCAAATCTGATGGCGAACACAGACTCCTCTATCGAGCTATCTCCATTAAAGGCGTGAGGCAGGAGAGGCAACAAAGTTCATTTGACTCAATGAAACAGATTTTTTTTCATTAAAACGTAAGGCATTTGCCTATAATCCCCTTGCATTAGTGCCACGAAGTGTTGTGATGATACATGAACAATGTAGAAACTCCACTCGGACGCGAACAAGCACCTAGCTAGCATCGTGAATAGTTAAACTATCAGTCCCTTCAAAAAATATAATGCTAAATGTATTCTACTTTTGCGAATTTTGCTTTCATAGAAGAGATGACCATTCCTTTGGCATTGGCAGTCGTCTTCTGTAAACTCATGAATTAGTACAATAAATGACTTGGCCAAGATGTTTAATTCCTTTTGAATAACTGATTGCATTTCTAATTGTGAGAGATATATGAATACAAGCTGTGTTTGAGAGAATCCCTTAGTAAGTTACTGTGACTCGACTTTTATTTTCAAAGGTTAAGTTTTATGGATGGAATTCATGAATTGACCTCAAATAAATAATCGGAGAGAAAGCCTGAGTTTTGATAAGGGCAAACGCTTGGTTTGCCCATCCATACAAAATTCCCACAAAATGATGTTAATCAAAAGAGTTTTGCTCTGCCTTGGAAGCTGTTCTCAGCGTGTAATTCAGCGGAACCAATATTGTCAGCTAGAGGAAGTAATCTGCTCGCCTTTAGACCTGTACACTCAAGGTTCGAATCCCACTAAAAGTGCTGATGGGACGAGAGTTGATTGAAGAACACTTGATGACATCCTTATTGAATTCGGTAAAAGTTGGCATATCGTTTTAAGTAAGATTTGGTTGTGAGGAATCCGTGAATTTGTACCTTCGGATACCGAAGGATGGAAGACTGTTGTATCCTGCAATGAAGTCCTTGGCTCCTTGCCGTGTGACTCCGATGAAACCATGCAAAGTCTGATCCGCCGTGACAAATATCTTGACAGAGTGATAGACCATACCTTACGAATAAAAGCAACATTATACCAAACCAAGATAAGACCTGCAAGGCTACAATCTTACTCATTTATTATACCAGATTTTGCGATCTCAATGAGGCATTTCATGATTTGTTTAACTATTTCATGGATTCGTCGGAATAGGTTTAATCTAATGATGTTTGTCACAACGGTTCAGTCGAAAACTCAGTACATGTTCACAGGGGTCGCAGAACGATGAGCTGTGGACTTCTTTGTACAATCCAACGGTCTACAATTCTCATTTAGTTTTGGCTGAGACCAATTCATGAATTCCTTCGAACCAACTTTTTCTTCTAAATGGAGAACTAACTCACAATAACCCATTAAGGGATACTTCGAACCCAGCCTTTATGTTCATAAATCTTTCTCGGACGCTAGCCACAGTTTATTACAATGTACAATATTAGCTCTTATTTCCTATGGCTTACTACAAAAACTGCTAAATATTAAAAAATTATGTCATCAAAAATTAATTAGATTTTCGAGAATACTAGTAAATCATATAATGAGTTTAAGATGATGAAGGACTGGTATTTGGTTTTTACCACAATGAAATGAGTAGCAATGACATTTTCATTAAAATTAACATAGCCTTGCTTTGCCAACAGATGTTCTCATCCAGAGTGGACTGCAGTTTCGACCTCGCATAGTACTTATCAACAGCCCAAACGGGAGTCGAACCATGACAGTGCAGCGTGTAGGCTCGACACGTTAAACACTACGCAAAATTGCTACGAGTGCCCTTGGGTCACAGGACAGATGTGAATTTCAAGGAATGTCAGGCATTTTCAATATCACATTATGTGCTGGGATTGTCGAAGAAGAAAACTTATACTTCTTATAGCAATCGAAACATTACTTTTTTCATAAGTGAGTAGGTTTTCGCAGACAACTCATATATCTGATCTACTGGTAGTCTCGAAAACCTACTTGCTTACTGAAAAAGTAATATCGTCGATTGCTATAGGAAATATAAGTTTTCACATCTGCCCTGTGACCCAAGGGCACTTTTAGCAATGTGACGTGGTGGTTAACGCGTCGAGCATACATGCTGCACTGTCATGGTTCGATTCCCGCTTGGGCTGTTGATAATACCTATATGAGGTCGATACTTTTGGGAAAGCAAAGCTATGTGAATTTTAATGGAAACGTCATTTCTACTCATATCATTGGGGGGGAAACCAACTACCAGTCCTTCATTACCTTAAACGAAATAGGGTGAATACAACTCATATTTTAAAAAATCTAAGTTTAATGTAAATAGTTAACTGCAATTTAGCCTTAAAGTTCGGTTGCTTGAACCGAATTACTACATTATTTCATAGAATATGGCAGGCCTAGCCAATCACACCCATAAAATGAGTGGTCGCATACGCTCGCCCCTCTATCCTTCCCCATTTTTCTCTCTTAGTCTATCTATCCATCTATGCTGAGTGAGATTGAACTTTGAGTTTGATATACACATTTTGGTATGCTCTGCACTTGACTAACGATCGTCTATCAATTAGGCTTTGATAGAAGTCATTCTCGCCCAACCCAGGGCAAGCCCTCAATGCAACTAAATCTGAGTTTTGCAAAAACCCTCTTTCTGTCACTTTGCGGTGATGAGCATATGGCGAAATGTCTATGGCAGAGACAATCTTGAGGTTGGCCATGATGACCATGATGTCCCCATGGCCTTGCCTCTTCCGGGCATGGGCATCTTATATGCCTGCTCGCATAAGAGCTGTCTCTTATTGCTCGGCTCACTGGCCAGTCAAGTGATGCTCTGATCCAGTTTTATCCTCTCCCCTGTTTTAGATCCTCTGTCTGGCTGTCACCTCGTCTGGCCGACTCATGTGGTGGTTCACTTGTTCGCTTGCTGCCTTATCTATACCTTTTTTCCTCAGCCACTCGGTTTGCAGGCACCGGATTAAGCAGGCTCATGTTGACAGCCCAACTAACAACCTGGCGAACATCTGTCTTTTGAGGAGTCCAACAGACCGGCCTACATGCGGAAGGGTTCGTCAAATCGCCTACTGGCCATCCTCTTCCCTAGTCAGCCGGCACTAGTCACTTCCAACATGTCCGTCATTGTTTTTCAGCAACACGATTATCGTCTCCCACGGCCAGCATTGCCGCCCACAGCATTGAGGCAATGGGGACAGACAAGTCAGCCCCAAGCAGCCGAGCCATCCAATCACTTCGTCAAGCAGATTGCCTGCCCCCTCGAAGGTACCGTCCAAGGACGAGAAGCGGCCGAAATCACCTTTGACGGATGCAAAATAGAGCTCCGATGAATGTGAACACAGAAAACTGCCATGCTCTAGTAGCGCCTACAACCTTGCCCAATGAGAACACCGAGACCCTTTCGAGAATGTCTGCAAGTCTTGAATAAGAACTTAGCCGGCTGAGGTTGCTTAAGGTGATTTAAAGGCGGATTCTGGGAAAAACCTACCTTCAACGGGCTTCTTCAAAAAGATTCTGAACCAACAAACTCCTATCATCTACTCAAAATACATAAAGGAGTTGCCCCACATCGGATTTTCATAAATAATAGAGGCTTAATAATGCATGAAGCAGTCCGATCTATCTGTATACAGTCACAACAAATCTCCAAAACCTGGAAGTTTTTAGTACCGAATTCCCACGACTTTGTTTAGTTAGTAGATAAATAGTCGACAGAAAGTGATGATATGCTTGTAAGTTTCGATATCTGCATAGACAAAAATTCTGATCTTAATAGATGAAAAGTTAGGCAATGATCTAATCAATAGAATGAATAATTTGATTCTGAACCGTAATTAACTTCAATATATATATATGCCTTAAATAGTACTTTCTATGGGCATACACGCTGTTTAGCTCCCATTCTATCTATTTGGAGGATAGTTTCATTCAAGAAGCCCTTGGTAACATGGCAAAGACTGATTAAATGAATATATTCGGAGAAAGTAAGTTTTCGAGACAATCCGTAAATCTTGAATAAGGTTTATAGTCCCTTTAGCTAGTATAAAATGATGAATAACTGGTGAATAGCTCCCAAGATTCCATTAAATTTCACATAGTCTTGCTTCCAGAAAGGTATTCTCCTATAGGCTGGACTGAACTGCAGTTTTTACCTCACCTAGATCTCGTCAGCATCACCCAATTACGTTTATGTGATGAAGGATTAGTAATTTAATTTACTCACAATTATATGAGATGACTCACATTTCCATTGAATTTCGTGTAGCCTTGCTTTCCAAAAACCTACTCAGAAACTGGAAATAAGTCGTTTAGGTGATTTCCATTGCGCATACAACTTTACTTCGTCGACAATCCCACCAGAAAAATTTGCTATGGGAAAAACCCTGCGACCCCGATGAATCCTTGCTGAGTTTTCGTCCGTCACGTGACTAATATCTTTAGAGCAGGACACCATGTTTTACAATAATTCATCAAAAACAAAGACAAAAAAAGTCTGCCGACTATAATCCGACCTACGTTTTGTAGTCTAGATTTGTCCATTTAGCGATTGGTTGAAAATCCTATACTTTTCCCACATTCTGTTGAAAAGTAAAGTAGTGGCATGCCAAGGAACTATTCGCACAAATCTACAATCCAAGCGCCATGACAATTCCCCTACAGTTACCTTTCATTCGCCTTTTCGAACGAAATGAAAGGTTCTCACTCCAACATGAATTTATTAAGAGAATCTTCGAAAGCAGTCTTTCTACATTTCTATTTTCTAATTGAAAGACCCCTTTGAGAGGAATGTTTCTATGAGGCTG